TAATTTGCATAATTCTATATTGCTTTGAAGAATAATTGAACTGATTTTATAGCCCCACCAACAACATACTAGTGTAACTATATTTACATAACTCTTCCAACATTGACATTTCCATATTTTATCTTCTTTGCTAGTTTTCTGGGTGGGAGATGAAACCTCAGGTTTCTTTATTCTTAATAGTTTATCTGAGTTATTTCAGGATTCTCTGAAGAGGAGTTGATGGCTTTTCACAAAGGCTTTTTTGTTTGTCCTGGGGTATCCTTATAATGTTAAAAAGTTGTTATGAGCCTTGATTGTTTCCTTTTCTCAGTCCATCATTTCTCTATCTGGATATGAATAACATGTTTCTGGAGTTGTGATGGTCATTGTTGATCGGATTTCCTAAGTCTTGTTCATCTCTGCAGTTTTATTGTTATTGTATAAATTGTTCTTCTGGCTCTGCTTGCTTTACTTTACATCAGTTCATATGAATCTTCCCAAACTTCTCTGAAACCATCCCCTTCATTATTTCTTAGAGAACAATAGTATTCCATTCATTTATATATATAACTTGTTCAGCTGTATTTCAGTTAATGGATACCTCTTCGGTTTCCAGTTCTTATCTACCTTAAAAAGAGCTCCTATACATATTCATATGCTTTTTCCTTTCTTTCTGTTCTCTTTGAGATAAAGATGATAATAGCAGCATTGCCAGGTCAGAGCTTTTGGAGCATAATTCCAAATTACTTTTCAGAATGTTGGAACAGTTCATAGCAAGTCACTCTTCAGTGCTCCAGGTAGCTCCCAGAGCCCAGTAAGTTACAGATGAGCTGCTGCTCTGCATCTGTATAGGAAGTTTCTACTGCGGATTTCCCCAAAGGAACTAACATAATTAGAATCCCACATCACCTACCCACCCTAAATCAATCTGTACCTTTTTATTGTATAGGATCTGGTCTAAATCTGATTTCTGCTAACCTACTTTTAAGTTTTTCCAGTTCTTATCAAACAAGGAGCACTAGGCTGCTAAGTTTGATTGCTTCTGAGTTTTACTTATCTTATTCTTTCCCATTGATTAACCTTTTGATTCTTTAATCCATCATACATATTTCTAGTGATTATTCCTCTGTAAAAATGTGAGACTTGGTAATTCTAAACTTGTGTTATTTTTACTTTTCCTCATTTCCTTTGGTATTATTAATTTTTTTCACATATTTACCAATTGATTTTTTTTACATATTTACCAATGTGCTTTTCACCATCTTTTCCTCATTACCAACATTTACTAAAGTTTATGGTCACTAGATTTGGGTCATCTTGTCAGATTCTTCATTGTATTCCATTCCTTCATCATCTTCTGCCATAAACACTCTATAGCAAGTTTTTTGCTTATATTGCTCTGGATGTGATATTTCCTATTACTTTTGTGATTGATTGCTTAAGAAGAATCTTTGATTCATTTTAGCCACAATTTACTTTTTGTGTTTATTTATCATGATCATGTTTAAATTAATATGGTTTGGCTCTTCTTGGAAGGTGCTCATTGAACATTGGTTGATTTTGCTGCCATATGCAAATGTGGAAATTTCATCATCTTTTCCTCTCCCCTGCCCTTTTTTTTCCAGATCATCATTCTGCATCAAGGCAAATTCAGAGCTACCCATATTGACTTGTTGCTTTGACTCCCTGATGTAATTCTACACTGCACCGTGACTGGCAGGGAACCCAAAAGTAGAAGTCCCTGCCACTCATACAGAACTCTTCATAAGCCATACATTGAAAACTGAACCCATTGAATTTTTAGCCTATGCATCTCTGCTTCAATGCATGTAGATCCAGCTTGAGTAGATCAAACTTGGACTCCTATGGATGAGTTTCTGTCAAATCAGTCAACCAGATCTGGAGTGGGGATATAAATGACCCCTTCAAGTGGCTGAAAAATGGCCATTGGCCTCAAGTTGGACATTACTGAACAGAATACACTGGTTATGTTTTACCATAGTAAATTCTTACTATTAAACACCTCATTACTCTATCTCTTAAATAATTGTCTTCCTCTAATGTCTCATCATGGTGTGGAGTTGACCTTGGGTTCTCCAAGACACAAGGACACAAGTGTTAACAATATTTACCAATTTTAAGAAGATTTTAGTATGAATTTAGTGATAAAATCTCATCTAAACTCCTTCCTAGTTAAGTTCAAACAGGCTCACCATTAGGAACATAGGATTTTAGAGCCATAAGGGATCTTGGTGATGTCTTGTCTAATTTCAGTTGGCCTAGTGAGGCAAAGTAACTTTATTCAAGTTCATACATCTATTAAGTGGCAGAGCAAGGATGCAAATTCAGGTTAATTCCAAATCCAGTGCTCTTTTACTTTATGAATCAATAAAAGGCTAGCTATCAGCATTCTGTTGTCTTCCTTCTTTCCTTCCTTCCTTTTCCTTCCTTCCTTCTTTTCTTCCTTCCTTCCTTCCTTCCTTCCTTCTTTTCCTTTCTTCTTTTCTTCCTTCCTTTCTTTTTCTTCCTTTACCATAGGAACACATGAAACTATTAATGTGATTGAAGGATTATGATCTATTTTGATGGAGGAAATACCCCAACCAATGAAATCACAGATTTTTTTGAAAAAGCTAAGTACTGAGGTTCCTCATTTGTAAAATGGAAGAGTTTGACTAACTAATCTCTGAAGACCTTTCTAGTACTAGATCCTAAGTACTGTTGCATATATGTTCATTTACATTTCAGATTATATTTTCTCCATGTATGTAGTAATGAAAAATGCATTGAATCCTCTGTAGAAATGGAAAGTTACAACATAGATATTTAGCTATCCAACACCTACATCATAAAAGGAGTCTACCCTTCTACTCTGTGGTTCTTTCAAATCCTAGGATTTGAGAATATAAATAATAATAACAATGATGAATACCATAATATGTATTGCTATTTTCAGGTTTTATAGTGTTTTCATATACATTATCTCATTTTTTGATTCTCATATATATTTGATCTATTGGAAGATAACATGGTGTTAAGGGAAAGATAAAGGAAAAATTACTGAGCTTAGAGTGAGGACTTAAATATCTCTGAGTTCAAGTTCCTCTTCTGAGACATAATCATCGGTAAGATACAACCTTTTTGAGGTTATGTTTTATCATATATGTAAAATAGAAAAATAATATCTGCACTATTATCTTCACAGATGTTTTTGTGGAAATCAAATAGGTAAGTAGGTAAAGTGCTACATAAATGTCAGTTATTATTGTTTCCCTGTAAAGTAAGCAGAGCAAGTTGTTATTATTATTCTCATTTTGTAATAGGTTAATGTATTAATCTTCACTTTTTTCACTTATAAAATGAGTATAATGATAACTGTCCTACCTACCTCTCAGGACTATTGAGATAATTAGTAAGTGCCAGAACCAAGACTAGAACCTTAAATCTTCCACCAATTTCTGACATTCCAATGCTCCTACAATATTATTCAAGAATAGAACGATAAGAAAATTATGAAGAGATGAACACAACATGTGTTCAGATTCATACATTTGGTTCAGTTCAATTCACTGACAGTGACTTTGTTCATAGTTGAATAAAAAGCTTCAGATAATATCTTTCAATTAATTACAAAAAAGATTCATGGTTTGCATTCCCATTTCCTTTTCCAAACTTTTAAATACATATGTCTTAGAATGCAACATGACAACAATTTTCTTTCTTCCTATTAAAGAGCATATCCCCCCCCTCCCTATTTAATAGAACATATAAGTAGGAAAGACAGACCTGAAAGGCAGAATGTGTCTCTGACATTTGTTTCAATTATGGTAAAACATTCTACTTGTAATTCTTGGAAACACTGATATTTCTAAGGGAAATCTTCTCATCTAAACAACCACTCACAAAATAGGAAGAGACTGAGTTAGTGTTATCTTACCTGCTAACTCTTTCTTCCTTACCCTAGGGAAATTACCAATAAAATGAGTTAATATTCTGTTAATGAAATACAAATTGTGCTGTAAGAAAGAATTCAGCGCACCATACAGCTGGCATGTTAACTATAATGAACTCTAAAGTTAATTTTTATTTGTTTTAGTTGAATTGGATTTTTAATACATCAAAAAATAAGATGTTATATTAATTTAAACTCTTCCTGAATGTAAGTAATATTAATAATTAACTACATTGGGTCTACTATGAGCATATTAAATACTTATAGCACTGATCACTTTCCCTACAAGTTCTAATGGAAGCAACGCAATGTAGTAGTTGGTTTATTGGCCTATGAGTCAGTAGAATTATATTCTACCTTGGCTCTACAATTAATTAGTTGTGTAATCTTGGACAAGTCACTTTCCTTCTCAGAGCTCCATTTTTTTCATTTGTAAATTAAGAATTGATGATCTCCAAGATCTAAGGAAAGGTATACACATGAGGAAAAGTAGGTCCATATAAGTTAGAATACCTAAGGTCAAAGTAAGTGTTAGGGCATCATTTTAAAAATGTCTCCTAACTCCAGATGTAGCATTTGCCCCAGCGCATGTTATTAATTCTGGCCTCCAGAATTTTCTTTCTTTTGTTATTTTAGCAACAGTAGCAGTAGCTCCTAATATTCATCCTGTTTACCTCCCATTGAGTAAATGTTGGTAGTTTTGTGGTTACTTACTTAGTGTGACAAAGGAGGATTTAAAATTGGTAATAAAATATACCCCAATTCTAGCAAGAACTTAGAGGAGTATATTAATCTAAAGTTGTCTTGGTTACTGTCTGCCTTCAGATCACCATATCAGACCTTCAGCCAACATTGGTCTTCCACTCAACCTGATTAACAAGCATGAGCCATGGCCAGCCTATGTCACCTATACATCCCCAATTGTCAACAGACTCATGAGCAAGAAAGACTGAAACAATTAGAAATCCAGAAATCTAGTCAGGAAAACAGATGGGAAGCAAACTACAATAATAAACCAGGACTCATCCACCTGTCAAGAAAGCCTGCCAAGTTCTCTGCTGATGTTGCTAACAAGGAGCATCCCACAACAACAGTTCTCAGCAACTATTCCTCATTGGCATCCCCCCAGCACGTATTACATGTGAATGGTACATTTCCCCAAATGGCTTCAAGAGGAGGTCCCACTGAGGCTTACAACAAAATCATTTTTTCCCGAAAACCCATGATGTGCATTTTCCTGTATGGCTCCCAACCAGACAGCAAGGAGAGAAATACAAATGTTCATTAGACATCATGTTTTCTGTAGGCCACCCCTACCAGCTTAATACTGCTTTCAAGTTCTCTCTGCAATTTCTCTTGTTATTTTCTTTAAAGTTGCACTGGATTGCTTATGTGGAGTTGGATTAGAAGTCTGATTCCAACACTCTTTTAGAGCAATTGTGAAAGAGATGACTTAGATAAGAATTTGGGTCCCAGGATTATGTGGGTATGCCTCCTTCCCCAACTCCTACTCTCTACCCCCTGACCTAAGCAGATATGAGCTTCTATTCAACTGTAGACTCCAGCTCACTCCATTTATAGCTAACCCTTAGGGTGGAGAAAAATCATTGCCCCTCCTGACACTTTCCATGTAGCCTAAGGAAATCTATCCAAATATGTATTCCTTGAGTGCTAGATTATTCTTGGCTCCTGACCTGGTCTTTGATTCATGATTTAGAAGCTGCAGGGAATGGGAGAGTTTAGCTTCCCACTGACATTAGTGAGAAAGGATTTTTCCCCCTGTGTATTTTCAAAGTGTACTTTGATGCTTTCTACAGAGATGGAATAGTAGAACTGATTAATTGAAAACTCACTGCTATTTCTCAGACATCAGCAAAGAGTCAATGTTACTACATTCTTAAGTTCCCTCATATTAGCATTAGTCTTCTCCATATTAGAGAACACCTCTTCACAAGACAAATTACAATATCAACTTCAACTTCAATATTTATTAAGCATCTATTGTGTATTAGGTTCTGGGGAAAATGCAAGGATTAAATAAGACACAATTTAGTAGTGAGATATAGTTTTCTGGGTTCTAATTTGGGGAGTGGTGGTATTTTTTTTTTACTTAGTCTCCATGGTGGTTTTTTTGTTTGTTAGTCTGATTGTTTATTTGTTTCTGTTACCTAACTTTTCTCAACTACCAAATTATTGTTGCTCATCCTTCATTTTCAAAGAGGACCAATGACATCACAGGGTGATGTCTTGATTTGTGCATGAATTGGATTTAAGTGAGGCAGAGATGCACAAAGTTGTCATCTTCCTGAGTCATCAAAGCTTAGTGGCAAAACAAAAGTCAAGGCAACTGGCGATAGACTGGGTTGCAGTGGATGCCATGTTTGACCAAGTGTCAGCACTACACAATTTCTGCTTCAGCTACTTTCTTGGCCTTCGGAACAAATTGTTCTCATCCGCCCATTCCACTGGGGGTGGTCTTCACATGATTAGGGTAACATCCCCCTAACTCACCAGGGGTCTGAGGCTTATCAGTTACCCTCAACCTGGTTTAGCCTGTCTGCCAAGACTATTTTACCAGGAAGTGGCCACTGCTCATGCTACAGCTTCTTGGAGCCACAGGTGAGAGTTGGGTGATAGGTGGACACTGAAGGTGGATTGTATGGGATGTTCAGGGAGGACTAAATACCTTTGATGTAAGGGGTTGCTGATCCTTTTCAGGGCTGCTCAACTACCAAGTGTAAGGCAGTAGAAAGACCAGACTAGGAGGCAATGAAAGCATGCTAGATTTTATATCAGATAACCTGGGCTTAAATTTGACTTAGATGATCTTAGGGAACTCAAATACTTCTCTGAGTTTCAGTTGTTCATTTGTAAAATGAGAGACTTGAACTAGATGATTGACCACTAAGTTTCCTTCCACTTCTAAATCCTTTAAAGAGACTTGGATTTTATGACTAGCTTGTTGGGTGGTCTTGGACAAGTAATTTAACCATCCTTTGCCTTAGTTTCTACATCTGTAAAATAAGGATTATAACTATTATCTTTGTCTCACAGATATGTTGAAAATAAAATGAAAATAATAAAGTACTTCAGAAAAGTCAAATGTACTATACATATATGCTGTTATTATTTTACTAATAATAACACATAACAAATAGAATAAATACTGTACTTTTATGGTCTATCCATTCTCTTATTTGACCCTTGTAACAATCCTACAGCACAAGTATTTTATATCTATTTTACAGATTAGGATACTAAAGCTCTAAGGGGTTGAATGACTTGCTCAGGTCACATGACCATTAAATGACAGAGCCAGGACTTGAACCCAGATCTTCTTTATATTTCCAAGAGCCCTCTAGTCTCCCTTCCCATCCTTTTCATCCTTTTCCTCCCATTACCCAACAAGCTTTATTAGATACACTTGGCCCTAAGGTTAGAAAGCACTTCCATAATTGTAAGACGACAATGTCCTTTTAGGTCTTTTGTGTGAAGAATAGCCACATGATCAATTCAGTGCATCCAGATCTCTTTCTCTTAGGCTACAGGATAGACAGGCCATAGTGATTCTTAATGAAGAAATATTTTTACTGTGTCAGGGTCCACTAAGCATGTGCAGACATGGCCTCAATGACAGCTTCATCTAATTAGAATCAATTTCTTTGGTTTCTTTAATCATACATTTAGAGTTGGAAAAGAAATTTGTCCAACTTTTTTTTATTTTACAGATGAGAAAACTTGAGACCCAAGAAGAAAATCACATAAGTATCAGAGACAGAATTCAATCCCAGGTCTCCAACATTCTTTCCTCTATATTATGCTGCCCTTTAGAAATATTTGCATGTATACAATGGCTGTGGTATGGAGTTTTTGGAAGAGTAAGTGCTCTCTGAATCAAAACTATTTTTATTACTACTATTTAGGTTAATCTATTGTTAACATGATAATATAGGTATTAACTAAGAATACTATTGTCATCTCTTTTTGACATAAATGTGTAATATCTTGACACTTTCAGACATTGAGTGGCAGAATTTACATATGAAAAGGCATGGAATGCTCTTGAGCTGTTGAAATCTTTCCTTCTTGACAAAGATTGCCTCTATACTCATACTTCCCAACCACTCCCACACCTTTACATTGGTGAACAGCAGAAAGAGTTCTAAAAATTGGGGAATTACAAACCCCAGAATTAGTAATTATTAGGCAAGTAACCACTACTTGATTATTTATGTCTGCAGACTAGTCTGGAGACATGAAAACCTTGGAAGTGTGTTGGACAGACACCATTAGCTAGAATAAAGTCTCTAATGGAAGGAACCAAGCTATTTAGCAGAGAGAGTTGTAGAAAGAAAAAGCAAAGTTTAAGAGCATTAGCTTGCTAGGCAATCTAGCTCTTCTGAAAATCTCATGCTTGAAAGATGGCATATCTCATAATCAAGACCCTTTCTACAGTTCCAAGGGTAAGGATACCTGTTTTGCTTGTTTGTTTTTCTTAAAGTGTATAGGAATACCCTCAACAAGAACTTAAGTTGAGCTTAAAACTGAAGGCAATGGAAACACCATCCAACAGTAATCAGCAGAGCAGCCTCTGGTGAAGACTACAAGACCATGGTCAATAGGGGAGCAACGTGAAGAAATCCATAGCCTGCATCATCACAGGCATGATTACCCCTCCTCACATGTACCTTGTCCACATTGCCATGTATGTTATATAAATGATGTCTTCTATGTATGTCCATGTTGATGCTAGGTGAACGTGTAGAAGAGTATACCCCACATTGATGGGGGAATTTTTTTTTTTTACTTTTTTATTATGCCATTTCATTAGATGCTTTTTGCTATGAGTTAGTTGTGTTTAACCACTGAAGGTAAACACATTGGCAAGAGCTTGTGAGCCATTACTTTGAATCCCAGCATCTAGAGGACCCATTCTGTGCAATAGGGAAGTGTACCTACATAACTACAATTAGAATAGTTCTTAAAAGGAATGGGTTATCTCATGGAATAAATAGTAAATTGATACTAAGGGTGTTCAAGCCAAGGCTATGCTTGTCACGTATTCTGTAGAGAGGATTCATTCTTCAGATATGGTTTATACTACAGTCTAGTATAACTAGTAACTAGGTGATCCCTGAGGACCTTTCCTACTCTGAGATTCTGTAATAGCTTTCTGGCCCTTGGAATGGATAGACAGTACAGAATATCAAGTGTCAACATCTGACTTCCAGAGTCCTATGACACTTCACAGGCACACCCTGGATAACAAGTAAGATATGTGGACGTTTTCAAGAATTCTGCTTGTGACACTACATTCATTACCGCCAAAGATGAAAGGTTTTGTGTTCCCTGTGCTCTCTGATGTTCTCTGTGCTAAGACTCTGGAGCGCTCATAGCACAACTCGGCATTACTTTCTCAGGGATCATATAACACAATGAAAAAACAGAAACACAGGGAAACACCATAGGTATATACCAGCAAAATCACCAAAACATCTCCTTAGCTAAAACTGCTGTGCCAAAAATAGATCTTAGCTGACTAACTCTTCCTTATTTCAATACAAATTATTGTAATAGCAATAGAATGGGCCAATCTTATAAACATTAGCCCAGAAGTTCTTCTCCTCCTTGCTTTTATATCTCTGCCATCCCCACAGCTCAGCTGCCATGGCTGGCTTCCTGTGGTTGTAGTAGGGGGGTCTCAAAAGAACGATGTCCTGCTTCTGATATGATTCATAGAAAATACCAAAGTCCCCACATTAGATGCATTGCCAGGAACCCCTAGTCTTCCTCAGGAAGTAAACTTGGCACAAAACAGGAAATGAATATAATTGGAATAGAATATACCAGAAGAGAAATGAAGATTTCCCACAAACTGGTAACAAACTGAAGGTCTTAATAGACCTAATCCACCATGTAGCTACAATGCTGCCTTAAGTTCTAGAAAAGTCCTGGAGATCTAACATCCCAAGTTTCCCTTTCAGACAACTGCAGCCAATGTTGTTAATTTATTTGGCTAAGATGTAGAATCAAACAAAGCAGTTAGTTCCATTAGTTATAATATTATAAATGAAAGAGAAATTATTGGGTACTCATTATTCTTGACCTCTCTGCAGCACTCATCACTGTTGAATATTCATTTTCTTGTATACTTTCTTACTCTGGGTTTTTATGACATCACTTTCTCTACTGTATCATTCCTCCTTATTCATCTTTGCTGGATTATTATCTAGAGGCTGCCCCCTAACTCTGAATGTGTCCCAAGGCTTAGTCTTGAGTTGCTTTCTCTCCCTACTCCTCTCTTGGTGACCTTATCCAATCTGTTGCCAAGTTTTTATCACTTCTACTTTCACAATATCTTTCACTACACCCTGGATCTTACAATAGCCTATTAGTTGATCTCCTGATTCTTTCACTCACACAAATGTGCAACTTTTCAGTAATCATTGACTCCTCACTTTCCCTCCCTCCTCCATATCCAATCAGTTGCCAAATGTTGTCAATTCTTCCTCTACAACATCTCTCATATCTACTCCCTTCTTTCTACTTCCATGGCTACCATCCTAGTTCAGGTCCTCATGACTTTTTTTTTTTAAGGTAATTGGGGTTAAGTGACTTGCCCAGGGTCACACAGCTGTGTGTCAGTGTCTGAAGTCAGATTTGAACTCAGGTCCTCCTGACTTCAGGGTCGGTATTCACTGCACCACCTAGCTGCCCCCTCCTCATGACTTCTTGCTTGGACTATTTGCAGTAGTCTTCTGATTGGCCTCCCTTATCTTGTTCTTTCCTTCTCCAAAACATTTCTTACATAAGTTGTAAGATGGACCTGACTTAAGCCAGTACCCTGGAAGTTTAGGTTCATTATTGTAACCAAATTATATACTCAGATCATTCAACAGTTAACAAAAGGTTTATTTAACCCTAGCATAGCACTTAGCTGTAGGTGTGGAAATCACCACTATCATCTCTCTTTCCCCACATTCCCCAACCTCCATCCTCTCACCCCATCCCACCCCTACGCTACAATGGAAAGAGGTCTAGTCATCAGGGCAAGATGTGTGATGACTTGGACTTGGAACATCTCACAAGTATTAAGGGCCTTGACCCCATGTGGATAGGCTTCTTCTTTTGTCATTGAGTGACCAGGGAACCACATCAGCCAGGCCTCAGGACACCAGAAAGCTGTGTCAATGACAATATCACTTTAGCTTTAACTCTTTGGACTATCCCTGATGGGGATAGCTTCTATGTCTTTTGGGGAAGGAACTAGTTTGACTAATAAATTGGTGGGAGAGAGAGAACCTTGGTTGGTGTTAATCTTATCACAACCTACCACTCCGTGGAAAGGTCCTAAAGTTCTTCAAGAAACTTCTCCTACTTATATGACTTTGAGACCACTATACTATGTAACCACAATCTTGGGAATAGGAGGAGCCTGGCATAGGCTGTACTAGATGGAAAACATGAGAGGAAAACTAAGCTAAAATATAGCAAAAGTTAAATAATTAAAAAAAAGACCCTTTAAAAAGTGACCAAATGTGGAAGACAGCAAAATCCAGAAATTTCACGCTTTGCCTCCCCTTCATAAAGAACAAGTACCAGATCTTAATGATCTGGTATATGTTGTGGGTGACACCAAAGCTTTACAGTTCATAGCTGGTCTTCTGATGTAAAGAAGTGATAAGGAGAAGAAAAAGCTACAACAGGAACTTCAGAGCTGCCATAATACTTCTGCCATAGTCACCACTTCTCATCTCAGGTTAAGTTCAACTGCAGTGAGAGAAATTAATATGCCATTATATTAATAGCTATTAATTTTTGATCCACCCTTTTCCTTATATTTCTGTTAAAAACCCAACTCCTGAAAAGGTCAGTCAGCCTCTAAAAGGCATGGCAGAATGATGAGATTTGGTTCTAGCCCTCCTAACTGGGAGATCTAATTTCTGTTTTAGAGTATAAACAGAATCCATTCTAGGCAAACCTTTACCTAGAAGAGTACCCTATCCTTGGGGCAACTCAGCTCATGAAGGAAAAAACTAGCTACAGAAGTTCAGATGGAGATGGCTTCCCCTTGCTCAGATGCTCTGAGACTACTCAGTCTCATGATCAAGCCATGTTCCCAGCAGGAAGAACTGAAAACTTTTAGCCCACCTTAGTTTATTCTTGAAGAGGACCAAAATTACATTGCTGGGTTAGAGTTTGACTCTACACTGTGTTCAGCTGTAGTGATCAGGCCAATATGAGCTACACATAGTAGGTCAGGCACAAATAGTCCATATGAACATTTGGAATGAAAAAAAAAATAGCCCACCTCTCTTGTTAAATATCCACCAATCAGGGTTGAGTTTCACTTGTCAGGGGAATTTCCTTTCAGATAGATTTCAGGTGTTTCAGGATCTCCCTTGGCATCTTTGAAACTTCTGACCATCAATTTTTTGATTGCTGGCTAGTCTAATTAGTAAATTGATTATTAATTACCCAGAAACTCTCAGGATTTTCATTCATTATGTAAGGAAGCCAAGAGGTCTTTTAAGCAGCCTGTCTCAGTGTCAGTGGTGATATGAAGACTTGATACCAAGACCATATCACTGAAATATAGTACTTGGTTTTTATGAAAGGGAGAGAAAGCATGAGATTTCTGGGTTTTGTTCTCTTCCAGGTCATTTTTTGAAGAACCATTAATTTTTTGTTTATTGTTTATTTTGCTTTTATATATATGTTTGGAGGAATTTCTGTGGAGAGACTGGTGAAATCTCACTGTGCTGCTTCCTGCTGCTCCACCATCTTGTTTTTGCCCAACTTCTGTTCAAAAGTGTATAATCTCTCTTCCAACTCACTCAGCATAAATAGCAGCATATATCACCAGGAATTCTCCATTCTTGGGCATGGATTTCTGTGCTTCTTGTTTTAGAAAAGAAGCAACAGACACCACAGGAAGGTGAAGAGCTTCTCCAAAAATGATCCCTCCAAGCCAATCAATCTTACAGCCTTCCCAAGTTTTAAGGCTGACACTATCTACTTTGTGAGCTATATGCACATTTCTTGTGGCCTCTATAATTCAAAATCATCTTTGCTGAGCACATTAGTAATGAATGAATGAGAAAATTCCATGATAACTGGTTTAAATCTAAGAAGAAGGCCTTCACCAAATACTGAAAGAAATAGCAAGATGATGATGGCAAGAAACAACTGGACAAAGACTTCATCAGTGTGAAAAAAACATTGCCAAATATGTCTGCTTTCTGTGAAGCAAAAATCTAACATGGTTGAGATTTCAGGTGAATTGTGATAATGTGTCTGAGAAATTGGACTAAACCTAGAAAAGTCTGCTATGTTTTGGTGGCATGATTGATTGATGTCTTTGGGACTACAAAGATTACAAAGACATCACCATCTGCTGGCACCCTTTAGATTAAGGGTTCTGAACCATTTTTGCATTATGGACCCCTTTAGCAGTCTGGTGAAGCCTATAGGCTCCTTCATCAGAAATCTTTAAATGCCTAAATAAAAGGGAAGGAAACTGGTTATATTTAAATACAATCATCAAATATATGTATACATATATATGTACATAAACATACATATATATATAAGAAAAGCATAAAAAAGTAAACAGTAAAGAAAAAAAGTTATTCAATAAGGTTAAACTGCTTATATCACTACATGGGAAGATGACACTTGTAACTCTTGAGAATTGTATCTTTATTATGACATTTAGAAGGGGTATACATAGAGCACGTGGGTATAATGTGGTGATAAAAAAAATTAAGGGGTGAAAAAAGGATCCTACTGGGGGAAGAGGAAAGGAGGAGGCAGAAAAGGGTAAATTACATCATGTGAAGAAGCTGCAAAGACCTATTATGATAGAGAGAAAGAAGGGAGGCAGGGAGGTGAGCATTGTTTGAACCTTACTCTCATCAGTATAGAAATCTATCTTACCCCCTATAGGAAGCAGAAGAGGAAAGGGGGGAAAAGAGGAAGGGGGTGGATAGAAGGGAGGGCAGAAGGGAGGAAAGAAGTACTAGGAGAAAGGGGAAAGAAAAGGTAGGGTGGCTGATAGAAGGGATGACAGATTGAGGGAGGCAGTGGCAAGAAGCAAAACACTGGTGAGGAAGGAATGGGAGAAAGGAGAGAGAAAAGCATAAACAGGGGAGAAATAGGATGGAAAGAAAGACACAGTAATCATAACTGTGAATATGCATGAGATGAACTCTCATAAAAGAGGATAGCAGAGTGGATTAAAAAACATAATTCTACAATTGTGTTATTTACAAGAGACACATTAGAAGCACAAAGATCCACACAGAGTAAAGGTATAAAAAGCTGGAGTAGAATATATTATGTTTCAGCTGAAGTAAAAAACAAACAAACAAAAACAAAACCAGGTAGCAATCCTGATCTCACACAAAGGAAAAGCAAAACTAGATCTAAATAAAAGAGATAAGGAAGGAAATTACATCCTGCTTAAAGGTACCATAGACAATGAAGTAATATCACTACTAAACATATATGCACCAAATGGTATAGCATCCACATTTTTAGAGAAGTTAAGGGAGTTACAGGAAGAAGTAGACAGCAAAATTATATTAATGGGTGACCTCAACCTTCCCTTCTCAGAACTAGATCAATCCAACCACAAAATAAATAAGAAAAGTTTAGGAGGATTAGAATAGACAAAGAAGAAACAAAGCTATCACTCTTTGCAGATGATATGATGGTATACTTAGAGAAACCTAGAGAATCAACTGAAAAACTACTAGCAAAGTTGCAGGATATAAGATAAACCCACATACATCATTGACATTTCTGTATATTACTAACAAAGCCCAGTACCAAGAGATACAAAGAGGAAGTCCATTTAAAGTAACTGTAGACAGTATAAAATATTTGGGAATATACCTGCCAAAACAAAACCAGGAACTATATGAACACAATTACAAAGCACTTCTCACACAAATAAAGTCAGATTTAAATAACTGGAAAAATATTGGTTGTTCGGAGTAGGCCAAGCTAATATAATAAAAATGACAATTCTACCCAAATTAATTTACTTATTTAGTGCTATACCAATCAAACTACCAAAAAATTATTTTGTAGAGCTAGAAAAAATAATAACAAAATTCATCTGGAAGAACAAAAGATCCAGAATTTCAAGGGAATTAATGAAAAGAAATACAGGGGAAGGTGACCTAGTGATACCAGATCTAAAACTATATTATAAAGCAGCACTCATCAAAACTATTTGTATTGGCTAATAAATAGAGTTGTGGATCAGTGGAATAGATTAGATATACAAGACACACCACTCAATTACTATAGTAATCTACTTTTTGATAATCCCAAAGACTATTGCTTCTGGGATAAGAACTCACTATTTGATGAAAACTGCTGGAAAAACTGGAAAATAGTATGACAAAAATTAGGCATAGACCAACAACCATATACCAAGATAAGGTTGAAATGGGCACACAATTTAGACAAGCAAATTAGCAAATTAGGAGAGCAAGGTATACTTTACCTGTCAAATCTATTGAGAATGGAAGAATTTGTGACCAAACAAGAAATACAGAACATTATGAAATGCAAAATGGATAATTTTGATTACATTAAATTAAAATGCTTTTGCACAAACAAAGCCAATGCAACCAAGATTAGAAGGGAAGCAGAAAGCTGGGAAACAATTTTTACAGCCAGTGTCTGATAAAGGCCTTATTCCTAAAATATATAGAGAACTGAGTCAAATTTATAAGAATACAAGTCCTTCTCCAATTGCTAAATGGTCAAAGAATATGAACAGGCAGTTTTCAGAGGGAGAGATTAAAGCTATCTACAATCATATGAAAAAAAGTCTAAGTTGCTATTGGTTAGAGAAATGTAAATTAAAACAGCTCTGAGTTACCACATAACACCTATCAGATTGGCTAACATGACAAAACAAGAAAATGGTAAATGTTGGAGATGTGGGAAATTGGAACACTAATGCATTGTTGATAGAGTTGTCAACTGATCCAGCCATTCTGGAGAGCAATTTGAAACTGCTCAAAGGCCTATAAAACAGTGCATACTCTTTGATTTAGCAATACCACTACTGGGTATGTATCTCAAAGAGATCATAAAAATGGGAAAGGACCCACATCTACAAAAATATTCATAGCAGCTCTTTTTATGGTGGTAAAGAATTGGAAATTGAGGGGATGCCCATCAGTTGGGGAATGGATAAACAAGTTGTGGCATATGAATGTAATGGAATACTATTGTTGCATAAGAAATGATGAGGAGGCAGATTTCAGAAAAACCTGGAAAGACTCGTGTGAATTGATGCTGAGTGAAGTAAACAGAACTAGGAGAACATTGTATGTAGTAACAGCAACATTGTGCAATGTCCAACTTTGATAGACTTAGCTCTTCTCAGCAATACAATGATCTAAGACAATTCCAAAAGCAAAAGGCTCGTGGTAGAAAATGCTATCCATGTCCAGGATTATTGGAGTCTGAATACAATCAAAGTACATTATTTTCTCTTTTTTGTTGTTTTTTTGTTTTTTCCCTTTTGTTCTCATTCTTCTTTCACAACATGACTAATGTGGAAATATGTTTAATGTGATTGTACATGTATAGTCTGTATCAGAAAGCAAGCTCTCTTGGAGAGGGGGGAAGAGAGGGGAAATTTTAGAACTCAAAATCTTATAAAAGTGAATGTTGAAAAATAAAAATAAAGAAATAAATTTCTTTTTAAAAATAAATAAAAATAAATATATTTAAAAACAAACAAAAGAAAAGAAATTTATGGACCCTAGGTTAAGATCTCCTACTTTAAAGCTTCCAGGATTGTAGCCTGTTCTGGGTCCCACTCAAAATAAATTTGTGGGTGATTTAGCAAACATAACCATCCAGATATTCAGGTGAAGAGTGTGAGTTCTCCTGAAGAATCTACTAAGCCTCCGGTATTCTTTTTCTATTGTGGGGAAGCATGTATCAACAATTTTTTCATGACTATCGAGTATCACCTGGTTTATTTGCAAAATCTTTACCAAACAGGTTTGAGTCAGGATTTTCTTAGAGTTGTTTTCCCATCCCTTCATACTCATATGTGCTACCATCTGATCTAGGGCTTCTGCTACCAAAGTCTCATCTAGATTGGCTAATTTTATTTCATCAATGTAGTGGTATACAAAAAGCCCTCAGTAAAGGAGGACTTCTTTCAGCTCTCCACCTATCAGAATGTGGGAGCATTAGAAAGAGTTCAGTTAGCCTTGGGGAAGGACAGTGAGTTTATACTGGGCCTGTATCTACGGGAAAACAAACTACTCCTGACTAGCCTCAGCTATAGGAATAGGATAAAAGTATTGGCCAGGTCAGCAAGTCCATACCACTCACTCTGAGCATAAGGCTGTATGGTCTACCACATTGACAAGGACAGGAATGGCTGCAGAGATGGGCATGGTGACCCTGTATGGCTATAGAGATGGGTATGGTTCAATCTAAAAGCCTCTAAATGCATCTACCCTTTTCCTGGGTAATATAGGGTTGTAAGGGGAGAGGATATAACAAAGTACTCAAGCCTCTATCTCTATCACTATAGAAGTATCTTTCATATCCCCAGATATTCAATATTGTTTTGTATGAATTATACAGAATGACTTTGCTAACTCCAAGGATTACCATTTGGCCCTAGCCACAATAACCTACATAGAGGTTGCTAAAATGGCTCATACAGGTTACAACTCTCAAAATTTCAAAATATCCCTTCCCATGGTGGTTTGTCCTCCAAAATCAAATATGGAAACTAGCGTACCATGATGGACCCAATGATGGTGCACTGGAATATCAGTATTTTTGTTGTCAGTTATATAGTATCCCTTAATATTCAAATAGATTTAGGCTTTAAGGTATGCTCCACTTAGGTGGAGTTGAAGGGAATTTACTGCCTCTATCATGTATTTCACAGTACAATTTTATTAGCATCCTTGTAGGTTGGCAATTGCTTTCTTATCACCTCCATATTTCAGAAGACACACCCAAAGCTCCCTCCCTCCATCCCCAGAGCAACTATTTTCATCTATAGATATGAGCCTTGATTGCCACTGCTGCCCTATTCAAATTTAACCAGTTTATCTGCCTATGTTTATGTGGTTATATGTAAGGGGAAACCCATAGCTAACATCAGTGAGCTTCTGGACTTCCTTTTCCATTCGGCCAGTTCTGCTTTTGAAGGCATTCTT